TATTCCCCCGGCAAGTCAAATATTGATACAATGAAGACAAACGCACGCTCCTCCCCATTATGGTTGACAGGCCCGAGTGGACGGCAATGATAATATGATTACTTCCCTAGGGAAGGATGTACCACCCCTCACCCCTGCCTAAGTTAGCCTATATCCTCTACCTTCTGATCCTCTAAGCCGCCTGGCTCCTTTCTTTTTTTTTTTTTTTTTCAAGACCTCTATCCTGGTGGTGGTAGGAGAACCACCGGGATTGAGGCTTTGCCTAGCGGGCCGCTCCATAAGCCACCTGGCTCCTAGCTCCTCTCAGCTGAGTGCTGTCGGACGATCCTGAATGCTAGAGCTGATGTCCAGGGCTGGTGTCTAAAGGTTTGCTATAATTGTTTCTACCCAGCTGTACCCTGTTCTAACAAGGAACTGATTGTACCCTTCTACCCGCCCCTCCATTTGAACCTTAAATTACTACCATGTATAGTTGCCACCGCTCCCAGTCCTGTTCCTTTTTTTGTTTGTTTTTTTTGTACCCTAAACCCTTTCTCAAACCCTAAACCCTTCCTGTTGGCACTCTGTTTTCCACCGGCTACGACCCGTAAACCAGGCTGCCCTTTGATCAATATCTTTGGTCTGTCCTTTCTATTCTGCCTCCCCCCTTACCCCCTCTTCCTCTTCACCCCCCTCTCCATTTGAAAATCAGATGTGGTCCTTGGATGCAGTGGTTGCTACTGCTCCATTGCCTAACGTATTCTGCTTGAAGCGTTTCGTGATGGCTTCCTCTTGCTCGGGCTGCTGACATACTCAGTTCCTCACTACTTTCCACTGGGCCTCGAGATGTGTTTCGAGCAGTGTAAGGAAGATGTCCTTCGCCTCCTGTCTATGCATTATTGTACCCTCAAGTGTGGCTTGGCATCGACGCTTCCAAATAGTCCAGAGACAGTACTGGTGTATCAACTGGAACATATGTTTCTGAAAAGGCTGCCACTGCTTGGGAACCGGCAACCCCAGCAATAAAGATAACTTCGAATCTGGGAAGGCAATCTGGGCTACGTGGCCCCAGATACCCCTGGCTCCGTCCCACATCGCAGATGCCTCCACACATTCTAGTAGGCAATGCTTCATTGTTCCTGGTATTCCTTCCTGACATACCCTGCATATCTCACTCTCCTCACTTCTCTGTCTGTGGCTTCTTCTTTCATTAAGCCATACGTTCACCGGGAGTGCCACGTGCGCTATTAGCCATTGCATTACTCCTGACTGGTCCCGATCTTATCGCTCCTATGTTTGCCCAGGGAATGTTTGACAGCTGTCCTCTGGGGACCCCTACCCTCTTCTCCCATCTCTTGAGCAGCGTCGGTGCCGTGGAGTAAGATGGGCTCCTCGATCTATTTGGCAAAACTGGGGGCCTGGTCGGCAGTGTATACTTCAATATACGGAAGGGCACTAATACTTAACGCATCTATTTTCTCCATGCTATGGTCTGCTGGGTCAAATCTGGTCGCCACCAAAAGCTTCGACAGTCCTATTGAGAAGAAGAGCAGCGGCGTATCTATGGACAGCGAAAGCAAACAGCACCCGCTTCATATCTAAAGTAGCATGGAAATATGTAACTAGACCCAAGCAGCAGGGGGGTGGAAAACCGTCACAGAATTAAGGATGCACCTGAAAGGATGTCACAAATTACCAGAAAACCTGGGAACTGTCTAGGGAGCCATACCGCAAGCATGGAAACAGCTGCTGCAGTCAAGGACACAGTGGGGTCTGGGAGATTGGGCCACGTGGGAAGACGACGGAGAACCTAAGGAGGTCTTCAGGATCTGGGGTCTAGAGCCTTACAGACCGAATTGGCTAGTAGCAGATAAATATGACATCCTCCATCCAGCCAACAGCACGTCTGAATTGGATAGAGTGCCCAAAGCACCGTTACTCGTTTTGAAACACTACTTGCGGAAGGATAGGGTGGTGGAGACAGAGGAATTCGCGGTATACAATTCGGCAGTGCCAATTGCGGATCTGGAAGTGGACCCGACGGAATGGGCATGGAACATCAGAAGTGGGCGAACAGGAGCGTCTAGGAGAATAATCATGACCGGGCATTCTATTCGGGCGAAGACGGTACCTTTAGAGCAGGACCTGGTATATATGCCAGGCATGTAGACTTTTGTAGGCTTCATTTGTTACGGTTATGAACCTTCTGGCACGTCTCCTTTCTCCATGCCTCATCTTCCATCGAAAGGTAATACAGAGTAACATAGCACGTCATGTAGGTGTTCAAAGTGACTTCATATATATCAACAAATAAACATAAGTTTTGAATCTTATTAGCATGATAATAAATAATGATATTCCAGAAAATTTGACAAATTACAAAACAAAAAGATGCACAGCATGTCGACATGATGTAGAAAAAACGTGAGCATGCGAAACTTCAGGCATGGTGGATACTAACACCAAGGAAGGGAATATCAAGCATCACAACATCCATCCATCCATCCATGCCCAATTAGGAAAAAATTCAAAAAAATATTTTAAAAATAAGGTAAAGGTTCCAATGAATAGGTTCTGTACATCATCCTGGGTAAACAGAATATGACATTGGTGTACATCCTGAGCGAACAAAAATCCATTCCAATTTCACATCTCCAAGTGACGCAAATGATAGGACCTGACAGAGGAAGTCCCTTGCTCACTAGCAACTCATTTCCCGTGCTTATTTTTCATTTGCAAGTCACTTCTGAGGCTGAGTAAGATGATGTCCAATCAACTGACAACTTTCACAAGGGCAGGAGAGAGGATACTTGGAATATGGAGAAATAGAGATGGTGAGCACACACACGGAGGGGTGTGTGTGTGTGTGTGTGTGTGAGAGAGAGAGAGAGAGAGAGAGAGAGAGAGAGAGAGAGAGAGAGAGAGAGAG